TGGCTTAGGATACAATCCAGGCAAAAAGTAGAGGGTTTACTTGTACAGAAAATGGCTGCTTAGGGAAGTACTGCGCACAGAGGAGTTTCTGGAGTAAATCACCATCTCAGTGCAGTACATTTAGCCATAGGGAACCTCAGGATGCAAAAGAACTGCTGTGTAGACAAGTTCTGGTTTGTGTTACCAAAAACATATTCGGCAATTGGATGTGATTTGATATTTCTTAAGCTTTCTTTAAAGAATAGTCCACTTTCTCCTCACAGAGAAGAAACAAGAGAACTGCTTTCAGAGGCTTTCGCCTCTGCATCCCACTCTTGTATCGCTGTCCCTGAAGAAAGCAGTCAGACAACCCAGCGTCTGCGTATTCTTCGCCACCTCCAGCTACTTTGGCAGCTTAAAACCAGACCTGGAACAAAGATCACTTTGGGCTGGTTCCTGCTGTTTCCCCTCCGTGTCCTCAGCGGAGGGGGGGAATCAACTTGCTCATGGGTGCAAACGGCTCGAAGTCTGCAATTTTCTACGAGGCGTCTTTGGTTTTGCTTTGTGTTGTTTTCCTACGCTGTCCATGAATTTCAGTGGTGAGGCACTGGAACAGGTTGCCCAGAGAAGCTGTGGATGTCCCATCCCTGGAAGTGTTCAAGGCCAGGCTGGATGAGGCTTTGAGCAACCTGGTCTAGTGGAAGGTGTCCCTGCCCATGGCAGGGGGGGTGGGACTAGATGGTCTTTAAGGTCCCTTCCACCCCAACCTATTCTATGATTCTGTGATTCTATGAATGACAGTTGACTGTAGTGACTAACCTTGTGATCCAAGTCTGATCGTTAAAGACACCGTTAGAACTCGTTTAGAAATCATGCTGCTATCCCTGCTTTGGCACAGAGAAAGTCACGTCAGCTAAAACACGCAGCAGTCGTCTGAAGAGGTAAGAATGTTGGAGGTTTGAAAGCAACGACCTCATCTTTTTGGGGGGTAAGCCCTTATGGCCAAAAAGAAAGAAAACAAACCTAACGCCACTGATCATCTCACACTGACTCCTACATAGGGTATAGCACAATTACACAGTCACTTGCCTGTTACTAGATTAGAAGGCAGGGATACTACTTTTTATATGTTTACATTCCTTATCAAATGATGCAGTGCAAGGTCAGGTGACATGAGAGGAGCTCCCTGAGTTCTGCAGGACACGGAATCACCTCCAGAGCTGGTTACCTGTATAGCAGCCTATGGCACAGATCCTGTTTAGCTGGAACCAACTGCTAAGTCCTCCTGCTACTGATCTGGAACCACAGCCTGACTTTCCTCTCCGTTCTTCAAGATCTAGCCCACTGATACAGGACTATTTCCTCAGGAAACAGGGAGCACATCAGAAGAAAACTCACTACAGAATTCCAGCCATCTTCTTCCAGAAAGCACTATTTTTAGGTGTATTTTAGAGTATTTTTAAAACCAGAACAAATGCATTAATTAAATTCCTGCAGCTTACTAATCACTAGATGTGTTACAGAGTAGAATACCTGGGGAGTTTCCAGAAAACAACTGCTTTTCTCTGGACATTTATCCTATTGTGCAAAATACATCGTAGCCACGTAGCCAACCCATATGGCATGATTTGGTGCTGAAGGACTGTGTCGTTTGTTTGTGGGGTTTTGGGGTTTTTTTGTTTGGTTGGTTTCTTTTAATTTTTACATAGTGTTTGAATTTAACAGCATTTCTTGAGGATATCTAGGAATAGTAAATTGACATTGTTCCCATCATAATTTCCTCCATTTTAAAGGATTTCTTCCTTTGTTTCACACAAGCTCCATTTTCTGTTTTTCTCCCTGAAGTGCCGGAATAGTGAGTTTTAACTTTCCTTCCTCCAAGTTTATTCTCCAGTAGAGATTTATCCTTTAAATACATTTGCAGAGGCCAAATTACCACAGGCTTTCACTTCTTCAATTCCCACAGTTTTGCTCTGTACTTCAGCTTCTTTCATCAGTAATGTGGAGAAACGAATTTATCTCACAAACACCTGTGGTGGTTAAAAACAACCACCATAACAAAAAAAACCCCAAAACACTTTTGCTTATCTTTACTGTGATGACAAAGAAGAAAAAAAGTCTTGATTGTTTTCTTTTTTCATACTGGATATGGAAGAACATTTTTCCCAGTAGAAACCTTTTGAACAACAAGCCAACAGACAGCAGTAATGACTCAAAAGCTACCACTGTCTTAGGTGAAGTTAAAAATCAAACTCTACAAGGCACATATTCCATCTGGCATAAAGTGTCTCCTGAATGACTGGTTTCTGATGACAATTCTAGCACAGAAATTTTACACATACTATTTTTTCTATGTAAAGATGTGCTTTTGTGTATTTCTTCTACTTCCCTTAAACATTAACATGAATAAACTGTTGCAAGAGGGACTAAAATAAAGCATTCCCAAATAATTCTTCAGGTACGGAAAACCACCTTAGTTAATTTTTTGGTGAAAGGTTTCCATGTCTTCAGATACAATTTGCTAAATAAAAAATACAAGCAGGTTTTTCCATGTGTCCTCTTTGAAAGAAAGAGATACTTTTGTCTCAACACTCAAAACCCACCACAAACCCTTGCTTTCCAGGTATGATAAAACTACATTCCGTACAGTTTGCCTCTTTGACTTTATCATTGGCTTTTCATACAATGTGGGAGCTGAAAGGGGCAAAAATAAGACTAAGTTTGCTTTTCTCAAAGGGAGTTCAGATCTCAGTAACCTTTTCTCCACGTTCATTAGTCACAGATACTTTGACCAGGATCTATACGTAAGTGGGCCAAAAATACTAATTTTAACCAACATTCATAAGGAAACTATAACTCGTACTTTGCTTTTGAGGTTTTCGGGATTTTTTTGAATGGCACCTCTTCTTTCACTAATTTTTGAAAAACAAACACTCCATTAAATTACTTTTCATCAACGCTTTAAAACAAAAATGCCTGCTATGGTACTTCTCCACCTCTGCCACAGAAGGAACACCTTTTCCTGGAATATTTCTTCTGTCTGATTTCAGGCAAGCTCTGTCTGTCTTCTCATCTCTGTACCTAAGAAGCAGGGCCGCTGGGGTTCCCACCACCCATCTGGACCCACAGAGGACTGCTCCTCACTCTTCAGTTAGCAAAATTAGCAACAGCACTGAAACCAAAGAGGAAATGGAGAAAAACATCATTTGCACAGTCATTTATAAACTTTTTTTTTTAAAGTAAATTTTTTATTAAAACATTTGCTTTCAGTGCCTTGTAGACATCCACCACCTTGGAGCCATCGCAATCTGCTGACCTTCTGCAAACATATCAAAGGAAGAACAGGTACATCTCCAAATTCTGCTTCAGCAGAATTGTTTCTCACTTTTAACATTAACCGGTTGGATTCAGTAAGTTACTGTGAACTTGGCCAGATTCTTCACCTTCTCCTTTTAAAAGTCTGTTTTACAGAAAACTACTTTCATAAACAGACAGTAACTACAGGTAAAGTTTCAGCATGCACCAAAGGGCTAAAGTCCGGGAGAACCACGAGGAGTACACGGATGTTGCCAGGTTGCGTGTTGAAGAAACTACCCACAGAGACAACAGTGAATGCCGATAAGGAAGAAGGAAAGACAGCTTGCAACTGAACAAGGATTAAAATGCCAGGGTTACAGTAGTTTTGGGTCATCTAACAGACTGATACAGTTTAAAATTCACACTCAGGATAAACGAGACAATATGCTTGTGATGATGCAGGGGGGCAAGCTGCAGTACAAGGCCTGAACTCTCACAGAAAGGCTGGTGTGCTGCTACCAGGGATGGCGTGACTCCGATTCACTCAGGAATTAGGCACCAGATTTGAAAGTCTCATGCTCATACACTGCTTGGTCTAGTCTGTCAGATGAGTGGAGTAGGACGGTTGGCATCTGTATCTGTGAAGGTAGAAGGAAAACCTCCCTCCCTCTGACAACAGTAGAGCAATGTCATTAAGAAACCTTGCCTTTTGGGGTCGGCTATCAGCCTCCTCACTCCGCCATTCGTACAAGGCTACTAGCAGTTCTGATCCAGTTCTTCCATTTGCTAGCTTTCCCATAAGAAAAGAGCAAAGTGCACCAACAGATGAGTCTGTCTTAAGGTTGACTCCTTGGCTACTTACACAATACATACATTACACTGTTGGGACATTCATATATGCCCTTTATCACAGGATCAAAGTGTTCTATTTATGCCTTTGGCACATACATACTTAGACACTGGAGTCAGGATTTGTCCTGCATGGTCTCCAATCCAGTTTTTACTTAAAACTACAATATACGTTTTTTTAAAAATAAGGTCTTTTTCAGGTTTGACACACATGACGATTTGGGTATCCTTGGCTTTGCTGAAGTTCTAAGCCAAACAATAAGGGTTTAAGTTTAAAAAAAAAAAAAAAATTAGATGTTTGGCAGATACTTGGTAAGTAATTATGCAAAAAGTCCAGCAAGTTTTATTTTTAACACTGATTTAACAAATGGGCTTATCAGAAAACAGATGTACTTAACAGCCCATCTTACTTCATTAATGGAATGTACAGAACCTTGCTGTGTCCATGTCCAGGAAGTTAGGAATTATCCATTTTGCATCCGTCTTCTGCTCCCTACAGCCTTTCCTATGAAGTTACTTTGATACCCAGTCCGTTTTAATACAACATGAGTTGTTTCCACAGTAAGCTGTATTTCCACACTTCAGCCATACCAAGTGTTCATAAAGCCATATATACTTTTGAAAGTTAATCAGGCAGGTATCATTGTAGGGATTTCACAGATAAAACTAAGAATCACCATCTCTAGGCATACTGTTTTCATAAAAACAAATTAATAAGGAACACTTGTATATATGTTTCCCATTTGTCTGTTTGTTTAAATTACATTTGGCACAAAAAAATCAGCCTGTAACAAATTTCAGCATAACAAAGATCCATGGGATCACACATAAAACAGAAGGTGACCTTCCTCTGTCACTTAAAGCTCCTGCTCATGCTACGAATCCACTTTGGGAAAGATACTGACTTTATTGTTTCTGCTGATTTTTCTTTCTGCTTTACACTTGGGCTGTTTTGTCTGGATTAGCTCTTCAGGGGTATTCCCCAAAGGAGGCAGGAGTCGCTTCTTACTGTTTCGGTTTTCTGAAAGCCACTGTGGAGGCAGCTCAAAGGGTCCAAAACCAAACTGCATGGAATACTTGTCATTTACCACATCAGCTTCAGTGGGCACAGCTGGCGCCACCTGAGCTGCAGAGTCTGCAATCGTCTGCGGTATAAACTTGTGAACCAAAGTCTCTCCTACCTCTAAACTGGTGGTAGGAAGTTCTTTCTGTTTAAAGTCATCCGAGCCAATGGATTTGGTCTCATTCTCCTCATCTTCCATTGGCTTGAAGATCTGCTGTTGCCCGATATGAAACATCTCCAGAAGCTGGCTCCCCGAACGGACGCTAGGCTCCAGATCAGCATCCGCAACACCACCCGAGCTGACGATGTTTCTTCTGCTATACCTTCGGTGCAGCTGTACTATTGTCCCTACCAAGCATTTCCGTACAGATTTGTTCACAGTTAAAAATAACAGAGGATTGGCCAGCAAAGAGACCTTGGGCAACCAAATGGCAGTGAGGAGCAAGAAGACTGAAATATCTGAAATATTGAGTACGGTGCGGTAAATCACCAAAGTCGCGTAGGGGACGCTGCAGAAAATAAATATCATGACCATGGAAAGCAGCATGGCATGAAGCTCAGCTTCTCGCTGGGAGGCATACGGGATAGAAATTGTGTTCTGAGGGGTCCTTAAGGCAGCAATGATGACTTTTTTTTTCTGGCTTGCACTCAGTGCTCTGCGAATAAGAATCATAAAGAGAAATACCACAGCCACTGGTACAATCACAGTGGTGATGTTATAGATGATGACATATATCAGGTGGCCAAGGGAGTAACTCCAAGATTCAGAACAGGTGGACATGGCATAAATATCTGACACATTGGTCACAGCAAATACTGGAATGCTGGCCACTATTGCATGGGCCCAGATATAGATAACCAGGTCTCGGGATTTTGCATCAGATATTTTTCTTTCCAGAGGGTATAAAACAGAGTAGTACCTGCCAAAAAAAAAAAAAAAATTACCGCTGATACAATGCAAAGAGTGACATCTACAGCAAGCACAGTGCTTATGAGAAGCCTCTCAGGAGCTGCCTGAGCATAGTGCCCCAAATCCCTGAGTTGCCAACTGACTACCTGCTTATGAGGGGGAAAAAAACCCCAAAAACAAGGGTGGGCCTTTGCAGGTCTGTCTGTGGAAAAAAATTTAATATTCAAACTTCAGGATCACATTGGTGATCCTGATCACAATTGGTGACCAATTCTTTCAATAACTGGGACTATATCACTTTGGCTGATGTGCATGAACATTATGTTGAAGATTTCATCGTTTACTTACTTGTGATCTGGACAGCGTATTGCACACAGCGGAAAATTTCAGAAAATATGATGGAGGCATAGATACATTGCATTGAAAGGCCACAGTGATAGTTCATCTGAAAATCTGTTTTATGACAGACTTTTTTTAACCTGGAAAAACTGTTAGTCACACATGAGAAGTACCCATCGAGGAAGTGCAATAGGGATTTGTTTTGCACAAGCTTTGGTTGGCAAGGCCCTGAGCAAAACAGTAGTTAAACACTAAACATTTGCTGCATTAAAAAAAGAAGTGAAAGACTTCATTAGGTATACAGTTTGGTTTTATAGAGCTAACGTATTCTGTGGTGAGACGCAATAACAGACTAACAGTAATTTTATCTAACGTGTAAATCCATTGTTTTAGTAATATAAACTGTATTAAACCAGTATCTACCCTTCCTTAAAAATATTTAATTTACAGTCACTGTCAAGAGGATTGAGCTGTGTATTTAGGGGGGATCAGTGACTGCTAATAATGATAAGCAAAATGAATGGAATCCAAAAAATTAAGACAGTCCAAAGGGACACTTTTGTTTAGACTAATCTTCTACATACAAACCTATCTGAATTAATTCTGGTTGTATTGTTTGGGTTTTGGTTTTTTTTAAACAAATTACTTTGAAATTGATGGACAATCTACCTCAGCCATTCCTGAATTCTTCTAACAGGCAATGGCTTCCAAATTCCACAGTTACAGACGTGCACCTTGTTCAGTCTGAAGTTGTCTGCTTTAAGGTTCCATTACTGAACAAGTATTATTAACAGGAAGAAAAGAAGGATAAAAAATTCTCTGAACACAAATCTATAGACTCAAATTCCTTTATAAATGTCCAGAAATATCAAGAGTAAACTGAAAATTAAGGTTTTCGGTGTTACAGAGAATAGTATTTATCCTAATACGTTCTAGAAAGAACCTGTACACTGCGAGCAAAGCACTGGAACAAAAGCAAGACCAAGAAAGGGAGGTAAGGGTTTCAAAGGGATAAAGAAGAAAGAAAAATCAAGGATCCTGGCAAATTTGCTCTCTTACCTGTCAAGAGCAATGGCTGGAAAACTAAGGATGGTCACTGAACAGAAGACTTTGTGCAGGAACTTGGCAATTCTGCAGAAGAGCATCGTGTAGATCCACCAGCAGCAGTGTGGACTGGCACTAAGAGCAATGTCAAAAGGCACACAGACTAGGCTGGCACAGATTCCCGAGCAGGCCAAATTCTTAATGAAACGGTTTGTTACAGACTTAAGTACCGATGTTCTCCAAGTTGACCACAGCACCATGATGTTACCTGTGAGTAGATACAAGAAGGATAAACAAAGGAGAAAAAACCCTGCACACAAACACCCCCAAAACCCAACAGCAATATTTTTTACATATTTGAATGTTCCCTAGTACTGCAAATAAAAATACTTGTTTGGAGTTTGCCAGGAGTGAGTGATTTGAATGATCACACTGCTCAAAACATCTGTAATAGCTAGTGGCTTTATAAATCAGATGATTGAAAACAATTACTCCCCAGCTATCTCCTCCCAGCTTCTAGTAACAAATTAATTAGGAATTTCAGAGGCCAATGCCTAAGCAGGATACCCAAAGTAGGCTTAGATGCTCATGTTGACTCCTGATTAAATGAGCCATCCTGAGTATTCAAATATATAAATTTGCTGAAGTGCTCATACTTTTATAACCAGTGCGTATTTCTTTTTTAAGATAAAAATACACTGAAAGGAAATATAAAAATTAAAATATAAATGTGAAAAATGGGTTTAATCTGTTTGTGTGTAAGTGGATCACAGCAGCTTGCTTTTCTTTCCACTGGCCACTCCAATAGCTCAGACAGGCCTGCGTGAAGCCACATCCAGAAGAAATCTGGCTTTTTTCCAAGAGATTCGATATCATGTAATTAAACAAGCGGGACAGGAAAAAAAAAAAAAGGCTTGATGCACATAACCTCACAAAAGCGCACATGGAATGTAACCCACTGTTTTGGATATTCAAGCCCCACACATTTGTTTCAAATAGGGTGAATGGATGGCAGTGAAACAGAAGAACAGAGAGCTAAACCAGTATTTTTCATACTAAACAGCATGAGCTAAACCAGTATTTTTTCCCTTATTCTATCCGGATCTCAGAAAGAAATATCATATCATAGAAACAAATTTTCCATTGCAGATTTCCCTATGATTCTAACTCACACAGCAACAGCACAAGAGCAAATGAAGCAATGTGTTCTTACTGCATGCAGCCCTGGGCCCCTTCTAATGCACACCAAGATGCCAGGAAACTCAGAGTCAGAATACAGGATTTTATCTCTCCTTTGAAAACCTGTCTTTAGTAGACCTCACCTTTTTTTTTTTTTGTAGTTAATAAAAAAAGAGAGTGCTACCAGGAAAAAAAAAAAAGCTTAATAGAACTGTGCAATAATGAAGATGAATTTAATATTAAAGTCTTATCTTGAATGTCACAAAACACCCAAAATTCTCAAAGTTTTTGCCACTTTCAATTGATAACAATTTAAAACTATAGGTGAAGGAAATGCAGACACACACTGTATGGCCACAGAAATGCTTACTTGCCCAGAGGGCACTGTACGCACACAGAAGAACTCCCAAAGGTCAGCCCACGATGGCTGGCAATGAAAATCACACATCAGTACTTAACCACTTCTTGCAAACCGCCTGGAGCGCACTCAGCTCCATGGACCTGACGCACATGCAACCAGCAGTAGCTCTTGTTTGGTTTCCCTGGTCTGTTCAGACCAAGAAGCCCCTTTCCCCTGTGTCTATATGGGCAGAGGGGAGTGACCTTACAGAGCGAGAGGACACCGAGAAGCCCGTTTGGGCTTCCCTGCTCCCTGTCTTCTTGGCTGTGGCTTTGCCCTCCCAAGGCAGGTGACACACAAGAGGGAGGAATGCTGCCCAAACGCTGTGGCAGGCACTTTCTGTGGTACCCAAGTAGATGGAGATGAACTAGTGCAGAGCTAAGGAGGCTGGAGGGTCCCTGCTAGCCCATCTGAGCGGGGCACACACGCTACATCACGTAACCTGTTCCTGGCTTCCCACCCTGGCCTGCACGGACACTGTTTCGTCTCAGGCTCCAGCGCCATTGGAACTTTTTAGTGCCATCTTCAGACAGAGCATTTGAAGAATCACTGACAGCATCAAGAAATACAAACTGTGTTAAAACTGGAAGGCAGCAGGTGAACATGCACGCTGACGAGAGTAGGTTAGAAGCACCCATTTTTAAAGACAGCACAGATCATAAATTTCTAAGAAGTGAGTTGTCCAGTTGAAAATGAAAGCTGCCTAATGTTTCAACTGTTTGTCACGTAAACATCACAAAGCCAGCACAAACACATGCAGAGTTTTCTTGAGCGTTTCACAAAGTTCTTCGTAAACTTAAAAAGGCATCAGAGTTATTTTCAGAAAGTATTCACCTTTTTATGAAATGATCTGACCAGGAAATGCAAGAAAACATCCTTTATACAACTCCCCCTAGTAATAATCCACAGTGCGTTTAATGGAGAAAAATCTCAAGGGAACATGTATCTCTGGACGATACTATCCCCTAGCTAATCACTTCTAATGTAGTTTATTAAATAACTCTTTTCATAAGACACTAAGCAACAGACAGTCATTAAATCATCTTGCCAGGCAGCAAATTCAAGACAAAAATATAATAAAAATAAAAAATAAAAATAAAATAGCTCCGTGTATGAGACTGATTAAACTACGTTCAAATTTTCATACTGAAGAAACACTGCAATTATTCTTTGTTATCCAGCTCACTGTGCACCAGGTAAAAATTGTCCTGAATGACAGGTATTAGTGAACTGGGGGTACTGGTAGACGAAAAG